TTCTTTCTTTCTTTCTTTCTTTCTTTCCTTCTGTGGCTTTCTCTCTCCTCATACCTTCTATTCTCTCTTAATGAACTCCTAACCAGGTTTTAAGGGAAGCCTTTTTTCTTCTATTTTTCATAAAGAGGGATTTTTTCAACTTGTAGGGGCTTCAGATCCTACAGAGGCAAGACCTATGCTGGCCCCAGAATCTGTGGCTTTCTAGCCTGCACAGGGGTTCAAAAACACCTGCTGGGTGTGAACATAGGAGCCCAGGAGGCCTAGAGGCCCAGGCAGGAATACTCAGACTCCCCTGTGAGCTGTGGCCTTGGCTATAGTCTAGAGCACAGCTGTATGTGGAAGCACAAGGCCACCTGAAGCTTGGAGCCCTACAGCTGCATTGGTGCCAGCGCGTGGACCTTGGCCTTGTTTGTACTTGGTTTTCTGGATACGAAGTAGGAATGAAAAGCAGGCACGACCTAACATCCCAAATGAAACTACAAAATCCAGATATATATGCCACCTATCTGGAGTTTCAAATACCTACAAGTAGGAATCCATACTGTAGAGATGGAGTCAGGCAGCGGCTGTCACAGAACACAGAAAGTACAGCTCTGTGGAGAATTGGAGCCCTCAGCAAAGGACAAAGGCAACCGTGTCCTGTGCTCATACCTCCAGGACAAAAATTTATCTCTGACACCTTTTTAGGCCATTTTGTCCCTATTGGAACACCGGGAAAGAAAATCCAGTACTGTGAATGAGTCTAGTGGATTGTCGGCTAATACGGTTCACAAGGGTAGTGGGAGCAGAGACTGGTAGTGATGGAGGCAGTGGTGCTGATGGTGGAGGTTGGACCAGCAATCATTAAGCAGATTAACTTTACTTAGACTGATTTAAGGCTTATAAAGTTTTGGGGGACTGAGGGTAGGAACATCTGGGATGGGCAGAGGTCATTGGCTGTGGGCTTAGGGTACCTGGACTGCCTCATTAGCATAGAAAGCATTTCAGGTGCTGGCTGAACAGGTATTGTCAAGAGAAGGGAAATTGATCCTGTAATCTAATTGAGGTTCTTGTCCTGGGGGAATATTCAGTTATCCTTATAATATCTTCTTGGTCTGAAATTGGAAGCTTTCTTTTAACTACCCTTCCTTTTAACTACATGGTGGTTAATCTTGGTTGTTGTCTTGATTGGATTAGGAATCCACTACGAGATAAGCTATGGTAATTGTTTGTGGTTAGGGGGTTTGAAGTGGAAGACATCTTCCTGCAGCAACCCAGCTACGAGGAGGTCTGCTTGGTGTTTAACCTATTGCTTTCATGTCTTCCTGGTAAGTTCAGCTACTTCACTGCTGCCATGGCTGCTATCTATAAGCCTTTGCTGATCTTAGAACGCATCTTCTTCAGGCTTAAGTGGCTCTCCAGAGATCCTCCAGGTTTTCAGCGCTAGAGTGGGACGACCAGCAGCATATCCATACTTATAGACTGAGAAGCCACCGAGTTCTCAGACTGTCCACTGTGAAATAGCCATTGTTGGACTCTCCAGACAGTACTGTGTAAGGCAATCTAACAAGTACCCCTTTGCTTTATATTCATTCTGTTAGTCTGTTCCTCCAGGAAATACTAATATGTGAAAATCTTTGGTTTGTACATGTCTTTATCTAAACAATACATTATATTCAGTATGAATACTGGCATGTCACTCTATTCAAGGGGAACCAGCTATAGTGATGAAGAGACTAGAGAACAATTTTAATCCACATCAGCACCCAGGCAAGTGCAGTCCACACATCTCTTTTGGGGTTTGCAATAGAATAACTCCCAGGAGAGCATTTGATAAATGGGGACTCTTATTTGAAGTGTTGTGATCAAGTACTACCATGCATCTCTGTATCCATGTGGTTGACTATATTCATCTGTCTATCCTACACAAAAGAAATGCTGTTTGGCAACACCCTGGCAAGATGGGCCCATTGCTGCAGTCGAGGCATAGATCTTATGGGAGTGACCGACCACTTTCTGATTGGATTTGAAAACAAGATAGAGCTTGTACATGCTACTGTTTGTTAATTGGGCCAAAACCCTATGACTATTACAGACTCAAAACTGTTCCTCTGATAAGTCGACAGTTATTAAACTGATAAGTCGACAGTTATTAAAC